AAAAAACAAAGAATTTACGTAGAGTTTTCAAATTCCATTAATTAATTCATACTTAATTATAATTAGTTACATAGCGTGTAATTATAACGATCATTATTCAAACTGTACATATGTATGTATTTAGTCATCAAAGTGTTAAAGAGATAAAATAAAAATCAAAGCATTTGAGCTATGCATTTAATGTAATTCATACAATTTAGTGATACAACTTGGAAAACCCAACAAAGCATAGTGTGTAGTTAGCATAACAATTTGTAATAAGTTATTAAGGAAAATTTCTCATTGCAAACCAAAATATATATACATACTATATATAAAAAACTGTAAACTAGTTAATAATGAGTCAAGGTACATTTGTATTACAAATATTTAAACGTTTGATTAGTAATAGTAAAATTCCAAGAATTTCATTATTTACATTTTGACTAGTAACAAAGTGATTTTGTAAATTTGATGGAAAGCCATCAGTTGTTTAAGCGGACAGACAAACAGGCATGACAAAGTCATTTTCTCTTCTTTTGGAAATTGTATACCTACTACTCTTTAAGGCTAGTTTAAATCAGGCAGCTAATACAACCGTTATGGGAACAAAGTTGAATGCAATTTCTTCAGAAATTCCAAAACATACATTAAGCGTTAGTTTTCGTTCTTCAACAGAAATTAAATTAAGTTTAAACAATAATATATAGAGTTAATTTGAATGCAATTTCTGTGCAGTGTAAATAACTTGTTTAGCGTTTTTCATAAACTTCATAAATAAAATAAAATAAAATACAATATAATAAAAAAATAAAATAAAACAAAATAAAACTAAACTAAGATACAAACGAGTATTGTATGTACTTACCACTTTTTTCATAAAAGTACCAAAGCGCTCCATTTAGAAGCAGCAGCTACATACGTAAATAGGTAACGTTTATAAAACTATAGAATAAATTACTTGTAAAAAATAAAGTTTAATAATTTACCTAAACAAACAAATTAAAACTAAAATTGTAAAATCTGAACTCTAAATATTAAATAAACATTTTCGAGACTCTTTGTTATATAAAAGCAAAAATATTACAAAAAAAAACTAATTGTTGTTTTATTTATTGCCATTTTATTGGCTATGGATTTACAGCACCAGGCGACCTTAACAGCAACCCGCTTCGCTTAGTTAAATGAATGAGTATTTTTTAGAGCAACAAACACTATAGATATGAAGACATACATACATATGTACACATTTAAATTAAAATAAATAACATTGAATAAACAAAGTCAAGAGTGCTCAAAATTTCGTTATATGACCCACAAAATAGGTAGCTTCCCGACTTCGTATGGCAAAGTAGAAGGGATGATCGGCACGAAAGAATTTCTTGCGGGAATCAATCGAATTGCTAATCACAATCGGTTTGTGGACTGCAAAAAGAGGAAATTACTCTCGTTGAGCATTGAGTTTTATGTAGTAGACAAAAATGCGGTTTAATGCGCTGGATATGCTGGATGTGATAAGCTAAGCTGAGATTAAAACTATGTGAGTGCAAATGCCAAGATGGGGTGCGTTGATGTTACGTATTAAATCTTCAAATTAATGAGTATGCAGGGCTGACTAAACGATTTTTTAACGAATTTTAAAGAATAACTATTTTGTTAGCTTAAAAGTTTTATACTTTTTACTTTTACAAACAAAAAATTGGTATTCCAAAATTACTAGTTTTATAAAAGATCGATTTTCAGTAAACTCCCCTTTTCTTAGTATACAATACATTCAGAATAGTCATACAGGTAAGTATATACATACATATGTACATATGTCGCAGAATCCGACCCGGAATTAGTTTTTTTTTTCGAATAAGAAATAGAACCGAAGGCAGCCAAATGCGGCAAAATAAAAAGTTATTTACAACGAATGGGTAGTTGACTGTCAGTTTGAGTTCAAGCAAAAAATTTCGCTTGCCAATAGAAGTTACTTTCGCCTCGCTGAATAATAGCAAAGTAGAGCTCGTTCATGACTAATGAAAAACACGCTTTATAAATCTCTTATCTCGGCCGTGGACGAAAGCAAAACAAACAAAAAACCGATTTGACTCAACATATCGCACACCGTCTTCAAAAGAGTCACAACTCAAAATAATACGTGTCAGAAAATGCGAAAAACTATTTCTTAGCACATGATAATCATATGGGCAAGGGCGACTTTACCTTAGGGTTCTTTTAACAAAATATAGCAAAAATTTGCACCAGCTTTTGCTGAAAGTTAAATAAAAGCTACCTTAGATTGTTTCAAACAACACAAACATACTTTTAAGGCGCAGTGAAGAACGCTGAGTATTTGCTGGTCAGTTATAAAATTCCATATGTACATTAGACTGCATCACTCCCCATACAAAAAAAAAATCGGTACTATGTTTCCATTGGAATTATAAAATACATTATATTTTAAGACTTCCACCAAAATATTTCGGAAAAATATTAAGATTTACGTGAGTTGGACCGATTTGAAAAGACCTCCAAATATGTAGTTTTTTTAAAACGGCTTTTTTTTAAACGGTTTAAAACGGTTTAAGCTTAAAAAATTTGCACAAAAATATTTAAAGAAAAATTTAATAAAATTATAGTTCAAAAAAATTAAAACCTTCCTATTATAATTGCCATTCGTACTGTCATTAGGTATGTAACTTGAGAATAGAAATCGCTGCATCTTTTAGGCACATCAATATTACATAGCTACATCCCGAGCTAATAAAAGGAAGGTAAAAAAATGTTCAACGGAATCGTAATAATGAGATTTTTGATGCTGTTTTTTAACTTTTTCCAAAGATTGGTATAAGAAAAACTTGAATAACTGAACCTAAACTATTCCACTTTAGACTTGTGAGGTATCATTGGAAAGGTATTTTCTCATCGAGTCCGACCGATGAATTGGCCGAAAGAAATCGAAAAGAATCGGAATCGTTATATCAAATAATGTCTTTCTTTTGTTATTATAAAAATTTATAAAAGCATTTGTTCTTAAAATTATATTATATTCAGGATTTAATCGGCAAAGAATCGGCCGATGCTTTGGCCGATTAAATCCTGAATTCAATTCGTTTCAAGAACAAATGCTTTTATAAACTTTTATAATAACAAAGAAAAACATTATTAAATAACTAAATAACATAACCTCAGTCAAGAATCGGCCAAAAATGGCCGATGTCGATTCTTTTGGCCTATACTAGCACCGGCATCGGCCGATTAATCGGTCGAACTCTTATTTTTTACCCTTTTTATTTCTTTGCTAATAAAACTCATTCAAAGGATGAAAGAGAAAGGTAGGATGAACGAGCGTCATTCCATGTGTTGGTATTTGAATAAAAAAAAAAAATTGGTACGTCAATGAGTTTTTTGTGCACAGAAATAAAAATAATGGGAAAATGCCTTTCTAGTGAGACCCCATAAGTCTAAATCAGATAGTTTTAGCTCAGTTATTCACGTTTTTTGTAAATTCAATCGCTGAAAAAAACGCATCAAAAAAACAGCATCAAAAATCTCGTTATTATGATTCCGTTGAAAAGATTATTAAATATTTGTATGCATGTTTTTTAAGCGTAATCTGTTTTGTCATCCGAGGGGAGTTTTTTCAAAAATTTCTTTAAGAAAGTATTTTTATTCATAAAAAAAACTCCATTTTTGGGAGATATTTTCAAATCGGTCTAGCTCATGTAAATCTTATTATTTTTCCGAAATATTTTGTTGGACGACATTACAACATACATTTTGTAATCCCGGCAGAAAACCCGCAACTTTTTTTGGTGATGCAGTCTAATGTACCTATGTATGTATGTATGTATGTATATGTATATGTTTCTTTCTGATAGCTGTCTAGGCGTTATGATCGAGGTGTGAATGGAATATTTGGCAGGGGTCAAAAATATCTGTTATCTCGAACTATTTCCTTGTTTTATTTGTCATCTAATAACTATTATGGAGCAACATTTTTGCGATAAAACTTATAACTGTCATCTCCCTGATATTTTCGTATTGGAAATCGCCTTTAGTTAAGAAAACTTTAACAAACTGATATATGTAAATAAAACTGTTTGTAAGAAAGTCAAAAATGAGGAAAGCGTTCACTGTGATCACAAATAAAGCCGAGTATAGTCTTTTAGTTTGCATTTTAAGGGCAAACTAATTCCAACAAAAGCATCAACATAATTCTATTCGACTCACAGTAATTTTAGCTGAATAGAGCACCAAAAGCCTAAAAGCGCTAAGCAAGCTTTGTATGGAGTTTACTCTAAGAACTGCGCTCAGAGTTGGAATTTGTTTTTTCTCAAATTTAATCTGATCAATGAATGTTAATGCAATGAATTAGTATTAGAATGGAGCGTATGTGCATGCTATGTATGATTTATAAGAAGTTTTTCTCACTCACCAACACTATTGACGCCTTCAGTTCCTGACTCGTTCACCTCAATGCAGACTTTGTGTAGAATATCCGCAATCGTCAGCGAAGCTGTGCTGTTTTCAGCCAACATATTTTTAAAATTTGATGCTTTGGAGAAAATCTTTGTAAGGCCCAGCTGAAATTAGGAAATCAGAAATTTTTTTCATTATTTTAACCCAAAAATCTCGCACACAAACACCTCACCTGTTCCAAGTACCTCCGCAGACTGCATTCAAAATCAATACTGAATTTCGGCAAAAGAACCTGCACGCTTTCCATTTGCATACGTTCCGTCAGCGCATTGAGATCCGCCGACTGCAGCTGCTTTTCAAGTGCCGCCAGGCCATCTCTTCGATTGGGCAACAGCACCAACATGGCCAGCTCGTAATCATGCTCGTAAGGCAATTCAATGGCACGCGCGTCCAACTCGCGAAACTCCGCAAATTTTACGAACATATCATCGTCGAAGAGCATAGGCACGGCCGCAGTTGCCGACGTGGCATTGGCCGCGGGCGCATCATCTGCACTTAAATGGAAGTCGTACAAGCCAGTGCGGTAGGCGCTGAATGGTAGAAACCATTTATTCTGAAAATGCACCGCTGCCAACACGATGGCCGAGGCTGCATCAGGTGTTGCGGCTGTGGACAACGTGGCATCAGTGATGCGCCACGCATAACCCTCGGCCACCTTTGCCAAATCCTCGTCAAGCTGCGCGCGCAATTTCGGTGGGCTACATAAATCTCGCTGCACCGCTGTTGTATGGAAATATTTTTGAGCGATTTTGCAAAATTCATCACCGATTTCAAGCTGCTCTGGCAGCAACAATTCGTTGCACATCTGCATGTGCGTATCAGCGGCAACATCGGTGCTCAGCTGTAGTTCCGTCGCAAAGTGGTTTGCCATTTTGGCATTGCTCGCGAAACGTTTCAGCTGCAGCACACGCTGAAGCTCTTCCGCGGTGCTGCCATCACTGCCGAGATAGAGCAGGGTGAACAATGCCTCCAGCTGTAGCGGTGATATGATAACATTCTCAGTGCTGTGCGCGGCCACAATGGCGCGCAACATTTCGTTGGCGAAGTTTGATTCAACAATTGTGGCGCTGCCGTTTCCATTTGTTGTGCGCGCGCTAGCGCTGGCGCTGTTGTTACTGGCCATTTATTTCGCTTTCGCTCTTGTTTTGTTTTGATTGATGCGCGCGTGGGCGCGGCAGTGTACGCGTTCTTCGTGTTGTGTGGTTGGCGTTGTGCCGGAAAACTTGGAATTGCGCTGCAGCACAGACAGTCAGTGATGGCGGCGGCGTAGCTGTGAGACTACAAAATGCGGCATCAAATTAGCAAACAAATTAATGAAAGCTGGAGAATGTTTAGATAAATACTTGTGCTTGTCTGTTCATATGTATGTATGTATGTTTGTGTATACGAGGTCACGTAGATATGCACAAAAGTGGGTTATGCGATGAGGAAAAATTGCAGCTGTTTATCAAAACTGTCAGCGAACGCAAAGAAAACAAGTATGTAGGTGTCGTGGAAAATAAGCCTGCTGGACTAATTGTTTGTTTACTCATGCTAATAATGATTTACAGCTATGATAAGCTGCCGAGATACACTGGAACTCTTAGAGAAAATTTTCACTTCAGCAGCATTGTGCAAGAGTTTTGCAATACACTTTTCGACATCATAATAATGCGATTGGGGTTTGAATTAAAAATTTTGAAATTTTACAGAACAAAAACAAAGTTTTAACTTAACATGAAAAGCGCTGGAATTGATATACATACATACATACATATAATGATGCCAATAAATTCCGTGTTTTTTTTTTTTTTAGATTTCACATGCAATGCTTTTGTTTATGCATTGAATATTTTATGTCTCGTATTTGAGGCTGTAGGCATTCTTTTATGAATATGTAACTGGACATGAAAGAGCTTTTCGCGCGATACGTGACGCCATTGCTCATACCCAATCAGAACTGAAACCGCATGGCCACTTCAAAGCGGTGCTTGACGATGTTCGTACGCAACCCGAGTGAGGTTTTGCAGCGTGACCATAACGGCGGATAAAACATGAATTCATCACACTACATCAGAGGCCGGCCAAAGTAGTAGACTTCTCCAGGTGCACACTAAAAACGGCCAATGCGGATCTATCCGCCAATAAAATGTTGGCGACAGTTTTTAGGGCTGCAGGTAGTCTGATACAAATCGAGTACCCTGAAATTGGTTAAACGTTTACCGGCAAATATTATTTTCAGCTGTTGGACAAAGAGAAAGGGGTTTTTTCTACAAAGAGAATGCACGGGTGCGGTGCGCACACGTTCCCACTACAGTTGGGTCTGCGTAAACAAAAACAAAAGCCCATATTTATAGCGGTTCTGGGGAATTTTATGCTGTCACAACAACAAAAGCTATGATGTAAATTGTTGCAGTTTTAATGCCCTTTTTTCAGGAAATTTTTTGTGTATGCAGTTTATACTTTTAAAATTCACATTTCTAATTCCGAAAGAATACTTAAAAAATCATCAAAGCAAGTAGGCACATAATGGAAGTATTAATAATTTTAAAAATCTTCCATTAATTTTCCACTGTATGCATGTACATATGTATGCATTTCAAACAAATTTGTATTTGTATTGTCGTATTTTTAAAACCGGCCGAAAATGTTGCTACGTGTAACCGTATCAAATATTTTTATTAATACTCAAATGCAAGAAATTCTTTATACATGTACATTAGGGCGGAGTATTTTGTACGGAGCAAAATTTTCGAAGAAAGTGTATAGCAAATTCAAATTCTACGATTTATTCTAAAATGGCGAACATACTATATACCAAAAATGACGTTTAACCCACCCAATTCTCAAAAACAAAACCTTTTGTAAATGAAAAACTACACCGTGCGACAAAAACAAAAAAAAAAAATCGAAACACGCGAAGTAACTGTGGGCGAAATATAGTAAAACTGGGTTTTTAGTTTTTCTCTCTGACGTCAGGATGTTTTTTGAAAGGACTTTGTAATTTCAAATATATGCTTAATTCCAAAAATTATTTCAAAAATTCAGCGCAATATAGAATAAAAAATATGGGTATTAAATATAAGAGAAAATTCTAGAGGATTAAAATAAAATAAATCTTTTTAGTTAGCAAGGACGTATAGGTATTGAAAATGCCCTTTTAATTATTTTGATTACTTTAAGCTAATGAAGTTAGAAAGATGAATTTCAAGGATGTTGTCGAGTAGTATTATTCCTTAACACATAAATTTTTCAAAAATAATCATTGCAAAATTTCAAAAGATAAAACTTTAAAAGGACATTTTCAATACCTAATCGTCCTTACGCACTAAAAAATTTATCCGGCTTTAATTCTATAGAATTTTTTCTTTAATTTGATACCCATATTTGGTCGATAGTTTTGCGAATATATTGATTTTTTTTGTGTGTACAATTTACTGTCGCACGGTGTAATAATACACTGATTTTTCTTCTAAAAATTGGGGGCTCCAACGTCATTTTCGGTATATAGCTAGTTTAACATTTTTTCTTAGAATCGAACGTAGAATTCGAATATGCCATACACGAAATTAAATTACTCCGCCCTAATGTACATACATTAAAATTTGTATTATAACTATACAGTTTTAGTCACATTAATAGGATAAGAATAAATAAGATCCGCATAACATTAATCTGCCTATACAAAATGCGAATACATAGAACCCGTCATAAAAGGTATGTTTATGTAAAACTTATCAAAAATAAAATTATGTGGAGGCATAACCAGTAACAATTTGCACATTTCATGAACTTCTGATTAATTTGTTGTTTATTATAGGTTTATTTTGCCAATTTCCACTATAAAAACTCTATAAACAATTTTTTGTTAGTGTGAATTGCACCGGTAACGTACGCCAGTAAAAAAAAAAATAAAAATTATCAAAAATCAACGCGATTTCATAGGTTCCTGAAACTTGCACTTTCTGAAGCTAGAATTTAATGGGCTTTACAATCGCTTACTTAGAATAGTTTTTTAAACTCGTAACAAAATGTTAGTTGTTGTAAAATTTGGTTTAACACATTCGCGTCCCATATATGTGTCAGCTGGGTTTTCACGTCACAAATGTGTGACGCCGGTCTAACTTAATTCAAATATACCTCCATTCACCGCCGTCTGCGATAGCGGGTTGTTGGATATAGTATGGTATATAGGAAGGTCTGGCACACGTTTGTGACAAGTGGTCTTGGGATTACAGGTTATGTTTATTGACAGTGCCCGTGTGAAAGTCTTTGCCGACTTTAAGAGAGAAAATATTAGCTTCATAGTGAAATAAATACTCGGAGGACGGTAAGTACGTATATTTAGGTTTGTTTGAACATAATAAGTTTGAACATAAAAGCCAAGTATTGAGCCATGTTTCAGAGAATTTTATGCTCAAAATAAGCCATAATTCTACTGTGTTTTCACCTAGAGTTAATTTTATGTAAGCTTTGTATTTTTGAATAAAACTGAGTTAGATAAAGACCTGATGTTTAGCCTATCACATAAATGTGACCCTTGTCTATACCGAAAAATATCTCTATAGACCAGCGTCACAAATATGTGTCAGGCGTAAAGCAATTACTTTTATTATGAATTTGAGTTTCTGAGATACCCAATGATAGCCAAAAATCCACGAAACTAGACAAAAATAAATAAAATTCTACCCGGTCTATAACGACGCACTGCTTAAATACGCTTGGTAGCGAACGTGTTAATTTTTCTATGAGGTTTGAAATTTGGACCTAAATGGTTTTTGTTAGTCATGTGCTGTATTTTTACAAAAAAATACTGAACATTAAACAAACAAAAGAAAAAAGCCAGAACTGTGCAAAATGTCGTGTCCCTATTATTTTTCACACGACTATATCGAGGGCTGAGTGGAACGAATTCTGAAATAGGGCGTTCTTCAACCAAACTCTGAAATCAGGCGATCTTGAAAAGTTTTCTGATATAGCGCGTTTTCGAACTGGCTACCAAGATAGGTAGCTCTTCCACTTAGCCGCCGATATGTACATATGTAAGTGGCTGCACCATTATGCCTATATCTGGGGGTCGAAATCGTGGCAGACGTGGACGAGCAACTCGTATCGTAATTCGCTATGATGATATTCATGAACGAATTACTAATCGTACTCGTTCGTTCGAGAGACCATTTGATCACAAAAGAGCAATCGAATGCGTGCTATATCCGAGAAATATTAAAAAATTGATGCAATCGGGGAAACAATTTAGCTTAAAAAAACAGATTTCTCAACTTCCTTTTGTTCTTCTAAGTTTTTTTTTTTAACAAATGAAACCGCGACTAAATGTATTTAAAGCGGCACTTTTAAGAAAGCATCCACACTCGAACCTTCTAGGAGAATTGGCATATGAAAACAAGTAAAGAAGTATAAGTTCGGGCGAAACCGAATTTTATATACCCGGCACAGGTATCAACTATCTATCCTCGTTCAGACTTTCTTTAAACCACCCAAATGTCTACAAAAGTCTTATTTATCGTTAAGAAATTGTTGTAAGTATTAACTTGGACGTCCTCAGTTATTGAAATATCGGAGTTTTCGTATATCTGAAAATTACCGTTACGCCCCTTCTAAATAATATTATCTTTCACCAAAATTCTACTTCACGTACTTAATTCAAAAATTTGGATCCAATATTTACTGAAATATTATAGTTTTTTCAAGTTTCGAAAATATCGTTATATTAGAACAACCTATGTATATGTTGCAAGCTATAGCCACCTACCTTGGATCAAGGGCAACCTATATACCAGTTTTCGTTGATATCTCAATTTTTGCCCGAGTTATCGTGTACACGGAAAGACGGACGGACAGACGGACAGATATCTATGGCTTAATCGACTGCTCTTTTCATTCTGATCATTTATGTATACATTTGTCTATATCTATCTCGATTCCTTTAGGCTGTTACAAACAACCGTTATGAGAAAAAATATATAATACCCTGTGCACAAGTGCGCTCGGGTATAAAAATTAGTTCAAAGTTGCATAAAATATTTTGCTTATTTTGTAGTGCTTAATAAGAAAAACCGTACTTAACAAATTTTGTGTGTATTGTGCCTTTCGAATCTACCATCAAAAGCATTTTTTTTTTTCGTCTATGTAAACTTTGTTCTTTTGCTAGGCTCCAATTGGGTATACGCATGCCACCTAATCTAACGAGTCGCAAAAAGCCACCAACCTGGTTAAGGCAGTAATTAAAAAAAAAAAAAAAATTATATAAAAAGATCAAATTCCCTGCGTACAGTTCTTCCCTTTCTTTGTTTATGAACACCACCACATTTTTATATTATTATATGAACATAACTGTATATTTTCGGATGTGTCTTTCCATTTTAATAAATTTTAGTGAATTCAAAAAATAAATGCCTGCACTTTTGTATTTAATACTGAGTTGCTTTTGCGGAATAAATTTAATTGTTTACGCCCGGAAAGATATTATGTATAATAAAATACATACATTTTGCATGACCACAACAAGATATGCACAGAAGAACGCGCGTACAAATGTACGTACATTAGGGTTATGATTTTTTTTTTTAGATTCAAATGCCTGTGGTGGCAAACGATGAACTTTTGTATAAATTTTCAAAAAATAACAACAATTTTGAAAAATTATCAAAAAGACTCCCGCGCATATCGGAATTTATTATCAGTTTCTAAGTGGAGAAAATTAATATTCAAACATGTTTTTCTTCTCAAATGTCTTATGGTTTTATTAAAGTAAAATAGATTCGTGGATTTAGTGCTGATACGCATCGTTTTTAAATCAAAACTTGGTAGGCAAAAAGGAATTTCGGTCGGTATGGGGCTTTGCCCTGCAACAGCCTTGTAAATGAAATGATAGTGTGCGCGGGAGGTATTTTCACGAACCAACAAAAATATCGCCAAAAAAGTAATATATGGACAAAAGTTCATTAAATGCAAGCACAGGCAAATCAAAATTTAAAAAAAGTATAAAAAAATCATAACCCTAACGTACATATATAAAAACATACATATTTAAGTAAATTATTTTTAAGCACGCTGAATTTTTTGGCAGCAAAAGAACTACTACATACGTCAAAAGCAAAAGCACTTCACTGAAAATTCATTTGTTGCACTGCCAATGCGCACTTCAATTCAATTCAAATCAGTTTGATATATACAATTTATACTTATATACATACATAAGTATGTACATATGTATGTAGATATATATTTTCTATTTTTTCTGTTCTCGTCAATTTCATGCTGGATATGTGGGCAGCATAAATGACAACAACAGCGCACACAATTCATTACATCACATTTCATTTTCTTTTTTTTTCAAGTGATCTCTTTTGCACAAAAGCAAAAAAAAGCTTCTGCGCTGCTGCTTTCCATTACACCGATTAAAACTAATCCCACGCTGATTTATGCCACTTTGTAGCAAGTTAGTTCGCACTTAATCCACCTACCTACCATATATACAAACATACATATGTACGCATATTGGAAAAAAAAATAGAAATAAAAAAAAACTCGCTGATACCTATGCTTTTAATACACACTTGTTGTTTAAATGCGTCTCTAAACGGGTGCACTGTTTTTTTTTTTTTTTTTTTTTTTTGACAATTTCAAAATCGTTTAATGATCATTAAAGATACCGCGTATACAAGTACAGAACACTTTCGCTACCGACACCGTTCCACTAACGACTGATCGATCCAATAGATCGCGCACGCCCGTTCGATAAATATTTTGCAGTTCTGCTGCTTACTCACAAATTAAAATTTTCTGAAAATTGTTCGCATTTTTTTCTAAAACATTTTCTCCGATCTGTGTATTTTCCTCTTCGCGCACATAAAATACTGCTATTGCTATTTTTATTATGAATGATCATAGCGCTTGTGCAGTAGCTAGAGATACGATATATGTGAAATAAGTGACCCAATGGTGCAGCATTATGCTCAGAGCGAGCGAATATCTGAGTGAGTGGCCTTCTTTAACTGTGTCTGGTTGCACGATCAATTGCTCACACATTAGCCGGACGAATACCAACCAGCAACATGTGTCGCTTTGTTTTAGATATTATGAGCAGTGTTGCCAGAACTTTTTGGACGAACCGGCTAAATTGGCAAATAAAACCGGCTATAAATGGCTAAAATGTTTCAACTAAATTTCACATGTTTTATTTAAATAAATCACGAGTAAAAAGACTATTTCTTGGAGAGAAGTTACAAATTCGAGCCGGAAAAAATTTTGCCAGCAAGAATTTGCAATTAGGAAAAACATATGATTGTGGCGCATGGTTGGATTTTTGGTCGACGATAATTTGAATAAACAAGTGCGTTAAATTTAAAAATTTACAAACTGAAGTGATTTTAAAATGAAAAGTGTAAGTTAGTACTTGTTTACTTAATTAATTTAGTTAATTCCAATGATTTGAAAGGTACTCGACACAAAAAAAAAACTGTATTCTTAATCGGAAGGCAATCTCAACCAGAGTCGATATAGTAAACCCGACAAAGAAATTCAAACGTATGTTGAAGAAAGTCGGACTGACAAGATATATACATGTAGATCCTGTTTTTTGCCCCTCTGAAAGAATTTCAAAAATTCTATACAGATTTCTTTTGTTTGAAATGCAACCGTGGACACTAGCTGACAGAAAAACTTGCAAATTTGCGTTCGTACAGAAAATTGCAAGTTTCTCTACATGAGAGAGAATTTGGGAGCATTTTTTCTTACTATCTGATATTTTGAGTGATAATTCTCGCTGGATTTTCGACGAACAAACCTATTGTCTTCCCTACAAAACCTTCTCAGACTGACCGATTCTCAATACACTCAAATAGAAACCAATACACATAAAAAACGCTGTAAAAAATTTCCCTTCAATTTTAAGGCAGTGAAACAACGGCCTTAAGTTAACATCAACCGAGGCCATATCGTCACTACACACGAATAAAGGCGCGATAGTGTTTTGACGGCGAAAAAAGGCGCGTAAAAAAATTTTGCGAAAAAATATGCTTATGAAAAACTTCGGCGAAGTATGTTAAAGAGTTTTTGACGCTAAAGTTTTTTTATGCGTCTTGTTTCGCCGTCAACTTTTGAGCTCGCGCCTTTATTCGTGTCTAGGGACGATACGTTGACAAGGGATGCAAAATCACAGTTACACAAAAGAACACAGAAATCCCTTCAATTCTGATGTAAAATATGATGCCAAAAGACGGCAGATCTCCCATTTAGATGACTGGTCATATGACCGGCAGATGTCTAGTAGGATTCCCAGAGAGTTTGGCTTTACATAGAAATTTGTGCTCTTTTATTTTCATTTTGACTCACTTCAGTGTTGGTTCCCTTAATTCAAGTTAGCATTCGGTGTTTGGAATTTAAATAAGTTCTCAGCAAAAAAGTTTGTTTAAAAAAATACATATGTTTATATAGTGCTTGAAAATATCAATTTTTCCCTTACCTTAAACCTTTGGGAGTGGACAAAAATGATGTTTTGTAATTTAGGCAGAATTGAATATGCGCTATCTGGGAGGATAATATCTACATGTAATATTTATTCTGTTTGTTGGCACTATATCAAATCTTAAGAGGCTTAACAGTGAAACAATTTCTTATTTTCTAAGTTTGCGAATAAAACTTCACACTCAAAATTATGACATTTATAATAAATATTTTATGAAGAAAATCACTTCTTCGTTTAAAATAAAAATAAGCGAAATCGGCCCAATTTCATAAAACCCAGCCTGACATGAAAATTTTCTCCACGATAAGGGCAAGTAGCCATTTCTAACAGATTTTGGGTCGCTTAGTCAAAAATGGAAACATATATACATATTTGAAATTTAAGAAAACAAGGCAAATAGCAAAATCGGCTAAAAACGGCTTATTTTTTTCTGCAAAACGGCTAACAAATCGGCTGCTGGCTAAATCGAAATTTCTCCGGCTGTTTGCAATCGCAACCGGCTAAGTCTAGCCGGAAAACGGTTAAAATGGCAACACTGATTATGAGGCAAAATGTATGTCACTATGTAGATATGCACACAAGTACATATGTACATCATAAATAGTTTTTTTCCTGTAAAATGTCGAGTGTTCAATTAAATGCTAAGCTAGGTGGTGCAGCCGATGGGGCTGAATTGTTACTTGCACTCCGTTGGGCCTGAGTTCGATGCCTGTTCCGAACATCTAAATTAGAAAAAGTTGTTCCAGCAGCGGTCGCCCCTCGGCAGGCAATGGCGCACTTCCTCATAAAACCATCATTTGCTCTTCGGAGATGTCTTAAAATTGTACGTTATTCCATTTGTGTTACAGCATCGCATCAGGACGCCCACCACAAATTGGAGAAGAAACTCGGCCAAAGACTTCGGGTAAGCGCCAAAATATCTATTATTATGATTATAAGTTGGTTTTCATTTGATATTGTCCATTTGGAATTATGTGGGATGATGAAAATTGCTATCAACACGAGCTAATTGAACGACACAGATCAGTTGGGTCACTATAGCCAAACGCTCCAAATACCATATTGTTCTTGTAAGAATATTTGAATGAATTCATAATATACATATTTGTCCGAGGTGTTGATGTCCAATACACTCGAGCTTACAGTTCTTGAAGCACTTGAATCAGTAAACTTCTAATAAGTACTATATAGTAAATATGTATGTAACATTATTTTATCATTGTTTTTATTTCGTCGCACAGTGTTTCGACTATACAGAGGCAGGTGGAAAAAGTCATGATGACAGTTGATACAAAAAAGCCGGTTGGATTTAGAGGGGGAAAAGTAAACTTTTCACGAACAATACATTTCCAAAAAAAATACGGGAATGGGCGCGATACAGACTAATTAGTTTAGTTGCCTTTGGCGATTAACCCATTAAAGAAAGAGTTAGTTTGTCAACTGTAATCAATTATTAAAATGTCGTGGAATATTCTGGTGAAGATATTTATCATTTATTTGCTACTTTCCTATTTTCTTGCCCAAAAATTTACTTTGAAATGTAGATGCTAAAGATTATTAGTAAAGAAAAGTCTGAGTAACGGTCCTTCAGGTCGTGAAATTAGACGAATGTCGAACAATTTTTCGAACAATAAAAAAATCTCACCAAACATTGGGAAAAAAAGAGTATTTACACCTAAGTCATTTTATAGTATGACCTTTGTTTTCTGAGAGTGGAAAACAGGAAAAAAAAATTTACCCAAATTCCATCACATTTAATTACTAGGCCCACATTTTTTGTGCGTTTTGGACGTTATAGTGATCCAATCTTCTCCACATTTTATATTTAGGTTTTTCTAATAAAAGAGAGAGTACAAACTAAATTTCATCGAAATCGGAGAGTAGAAGGCCTGGCAATTATTCCATCTTTACCATATTTCATAATTCCCTATTACTAAGTAAAACTAGAGCACATGTCAAGTTTGAGAGAAATTGGTGCAGGTTTACTATTATTTCCACCTGCTTGCATATAGTCGAAACACTGTGCGGCGCCTGCAAAATTTCTTATTTCGATCATAAATAGTGAAAAAATAAAACTCAAATAATAATTTTGAACAAAGAAATGAAGTTCAAGTATTAGTTAATATTAAGATTTTTTTATTGAACTTTAAAACTACAAATCTTTAAAAATGATAACACAATAAAGAAAGCAAAATATGTATGTTCAATCGAAAATTTTTAGCGACGCTTAGAAAATGTCAACTCTTTATTTAAGATTACAAAATATTGATGATTTTCTGTCTTCGTTTTTAGATTCCTAAATTTACCAATATAGCTTGATCGGTTTTCTGTGGTTTTAATAAAAAATTATTAAATTTGTTGAATTAAAAAAGTTTCGAGTAAACATTGAAACGCAATCAAAAGTATGGCACAATTATAAAACTTCATGTTGTTGTTGTTTTAACAGCATAAAAATTCCCTACATAGTTTTTGGAGACTCAGCTGGAGTAACGGTCATTGGCCAAATATACATACATATGTATGTATGTATGTATGTATGTATGTACATAGATCTGTGTCGTTCGTGCGATGTAGACCCGACTGTCGTAGGAAATAAACAAATTTTCATCAAAAAGATCGATAACATACCGACCACAATGTTTATAAGGAAATGCTTAAAATTATCAAAAAAAAAAACAAATCGATAAATATATTGTTAAAAATAATTATGGCCATACCAGTATTTGGAAAGAAACTTGAAAAATACTTCATACAAATTTTGTCAAGTCTCATTTATTTATCCAAACTCATACGCTCCATTAGTTTTATGGAACGGAAAATAAGCGTGCATAGTGCGAAAAAGTAGCAAAATAAAAATAACAAATACCTGCACATAGTTTCAAAAACATCAACAAAAGAAGTGGAACAGCAAAAACACTAAAAAAAGCCACCGGCTCGGCGCCATAAGAGACGATCAATCGAGTGAGATCAACAATAATAATAAAAACAAAAAAAAATGGAAAAAGTATGTACATACATGCACACATACGTATGCACATACATATAAGTAAGTATATACATATCGCTAGCTTAGAGTGAAAAGTTGCTAAGTCCCTATTTGAAAATTGTACAGTAGAGGAAAAAAAGTTCTTATAGCCATGTTCTTTAAGTATTTTGCAAAACTTTGAATACAACATTTTGCCTGTTTAAAGCAAAGCAAAACTCCATACGAATCAAAGGGATTCGATCTTTATTCAAAGATTTCGTACTATTTTGGCCTTATCGAATTTTCGGAGCTTTTTTTTGGACTTAGCAAATTTTCCTTTCATTCAATATAAACGAGAAAACATGAACAAGGACCTTTTCCCTTTTCGAAACGATGCATTTCTAGTTTCTCTAGCCTCCTGTATCAAAATATGAGTTTTCATAGAAAGTGGACTTAGCAACTTTTCACTCTAAGCTAGCGATATGTATGTGCATTAGGATGCATCTCCAAAAAAATTTCCGTTTTTCTGACGGACTTATAATTTTTTTTTATAGTCGCTGTCAAAAATTAGTATACAACTTGTTCTGATATAATATTCTCAATTAGTTGTATGGAAAAATTGTTTCATTTACAT